CCCCAAAACCCCAAAACCCCAAAACCCCTTTTAAACCCATTTTTATTGAAACAAGATACCTTATTCTAAGTCAAGAGAGACTGAGAAAATCATAGGCCATTCCTTGCCGGTGAAGAGGAAAGTATCTGTTGGATTATGGTAAGCTATTCCATTGAATTCTCTAACTTGAGCGCAAGAGCCATCATTTGCATTAGCTCCGATCGCTTCACACGCTAGGTCATGTAGATATCACAGATTAAAGACCCTTCTGGTCGTTAAGGCGTCTTCTTCTATATCTATTTGCGCTACATAGAAAGTTTGAACGCTAAAATCTAATATATTTGCAAATATTGATCCATCTACAAACTCAAGCTCATTTAGATTGCTAAGAGGCGTTGTAGGATCATGATTATGGAAGATGTCAAAAGTAGTTGGGAATCTCACTTCCTCAGAGCATTCTCCATCATCATAATCCATGTCAAAGTCATCTTGGCTGAATTCAATAAGGTCTGAAGGTAGGAACCTGTATATCCTATTGCTTCCATCTGACATGTACAAATAAGTACCGTCTGAAGTGAGGCCCCAGCCTTCAACTACTGTTCATTCCTCAGTTCTTGGGATGGAATATTGGTTATCTAATACAAAATGTCTATCTCCATTCTCGTCAATTTCTTCATGAAATTGGTTCACGATGCCTTCTTGATAAGTAAGTTGGTAGATAGAGTCTCCAACTCTTGCAAGACCTTCACCAAATTGTTCTGGAGGGTTTTCATACAGAATTTGGACATTCTCTTCAGAAATAGGATCTTCTAGAGGATAAGCTCTGATCCCGGATTCTTCATAGAGCCCATATGATTCATAAATAAGATCATTTTCAGGGTCGTAGTAGAATCCCTCTATAAATTTAGGCTCTTCATATGTGAAGGTGCCCACTAATTCAACGTCTCGAGGGAGGCCTTGACATACACGGTTTTGTCTGTACCCCAAGCCAGGCATGGCCAGACAGATTATTAGAATAAAATAGATCAAAATTGGTGTCTTGCTCAACATATTTTAATATTTTCTATATAATTTTATAAAATTGGGGTTTTGGGGTTTTGGGGTTTTGGGGTTTTGGGGTTTTGGGG